CCCCCCGGTTCTGGAGCTGTAACTGATCTGCACGAGTGAAACATTCAGGCTAGGAGCGGTCTGAATTTCAGCAGAACGATGGGTGTTCTGAATTTCCTCTTTTTTCCCCCCCGCATTCTGTGATCTTCCGATCGGCAGCAGACCATCTCCGTCGCGAGCCGTCATGCCTGCTCGTTCTGTCTCCCTCTCCTCCCAGGCCCTGTGGGCGGCAGGCCCCCCCCGGCGGGCACGCCCGTGTTCCTGGACCTGGCGTACCTCCCCTCGGGCCGCGCCGCCGCCACGGTGGACGTGGAGTTCTTCAAACGCCTGCGCTCGTCCTGCTACATCATCAGCGGGGACGAGCCGCTCAAGGAGGTGGTCATGCGGCCCATCCTGGACGCGCTGCTGGAGGGCAAGGCGTTGTGGTCGGGCAGCGTGCAGGTCAGTGGTACCGCCGCAGGTCGGAAGATGGGCTTGAAACGTCCTCTTAGCTTAGCTGCTAGTTACTTACAGTCAGTCTTTCTTCACGAATTCATCATACGAGTTCCCCAGGGCCTTGCAGTTAGTGAAGTACCAGTTGACACCCTGTTCTCCAGACAGATGCGATGAGCAAGTGGGCAGTTTGAATTTCTAGATGTTGAGCCGCTGTGCTCGTGTGCTGTCAGGCTAGCTGCTGATGTCACAGTGTGGTATAGGAACCGCTGAGCTCATGTGGCAGAAAAGGAGAATCTTGCTGTCCTGATCTGCAGTGGTTCCTTTTAGCAAAGATGTTAAAAATGATGCAGTTCTTGTTTACTTTAATTCTGTATATACTGAGCAATCACACTTGTGCATTTGTTTTTAGCACCAAGAATATATGCATATTATAAATATTTTGGATACAGTTTAATCCAAATGGCACCAATATATTGATCGTCTTTTTCGTCTGCGGCTGGTCATGGCATGCTTTACTTCCTGTGGGTTCATCCTAATGTGCTAGCGTTCCAGCAGGACAAGCGTGTCCTCGTGCTGCTTGTGACAGCTGGTTTCCTGGGTGGTGGAGGTTTGAAGTAGGGCATCCACAGGGGGACTGTCACCAGGTGTGAACCCCAATCGAGCATCGGTGGGATGATCCGGGGCGATGTGACGTCCCGGGTTGAGTCCAGTGAGCAGGCACGCGCCAGTCCCGGCTCTTCAAGAGGAATGGGACAGGACACCGCACACATCTGGTATTCCTTCCAGCCTTGGCCACGCACGCTGCTAACCTGTGCGTTTCATTCCTGCCCATCACAAATGGTAACGGGCAGAATGAAATGCGGTGGTGGTGTTTGATGTTCAGTATATACGTCCACAAGGTGGCACAGCTTTAGACAGCACCTGGCAGGAAATCGCCAGCAGGAACAGAAGGCAGCTCTGAACGCCGAAGAGGCGTGAGGATTCTCACTGCCGTCCCCTGTCTCCTCCAGGTGACCCTGATCCCGACCTTTGACTCGGTGGTGATGCACGACTGGTACCAGGAGACCCACGAGAGGCAGCGGGAGCTGGGCATCACGGTGCTGGGCAGCAACAGCACGGTGGCCATGCAGGACGAGACCTTCCCAGCCTGCAAAGTGGAGTTCTGAGGGCAGAGGAGGCTTCCGGCCCCCCCCCCCGCCTTTCCTCCCCACCCCCCTCCCTCGCGCTTCGCGGCCGCCGGCGCCGCGTGCCTGGTCACGAAACTCCCCATCCCCCCGATCAGGATGGGGATCCCCAGGCAGCTTCGCACCCCAGAGCAGCATGACGGCCGCCGTCCAGCCTGACCAGGCCACGACGGGCTCCCCAGTTCCCCGAAATCCGATCTTCATTTCCACGTTCGCAGCCGCCCTTGACCGTTTCCTGTCGCGTTGCCCATCTCCAGGGGGTTGGAAAGGCGGCTGATTCTGGGGAACGGGGCCGTTCATCACTCCTTTGTTACACTCCTACTCTTTTTTTTCCCCCCCTTGAGGCCGTGGGAATTCATTGCTGCCTTTCAGAACAATCCTCTTTTTTGGGGGGGCGGGGGGGACTTATCTTAATTGCGCACTTGCACGGTTTTCACAACGAAACCAAACTGGTCACTAAAAGCATGAGTCTGTAGGGTCTCGGGAATGAATGGATCGTCCTGCGGGGGGCGCACTTTGAGCGGGACTGCAGTGTCAGGACAGGGGCGTAAAGGCGTCTCCTGGTTCGGCCCCCCCTTTCCGCCAAAGCGTTCCCACCTCAGCTGCGTGCTTCCGATTCGGAACGAGTAAACCGCCCGAGAGCAGTGGCAGCTCAGCGGGGTCCGGGGCTGGTTTCACCTGCTGGGGGTGCGAGGGAGGTGCCCACCCAGGCTGTGAGCTGAGCGCTGCAGAGAGGAAGGCTCTCCAGCTCGAAGCAGTGAGGCGGGCGGGGCTGTTCTGGGAAGGCCTGGTCCGGGCTGTCTGTGGGAGAAGTAGGTCGTGGAAGGATGAGCAGGAAGTGAAGGGTGTTGGGTTTTGCACCGCGGAGCGGGGGACGGGATTGGGCCGCGGGGGGTCGATCCTGCGGTGCTGGAGGAAGCGTGACGGCCGACGCATCCCCGGTTGGCGAGCGCAGCCGTGTCGCGGCGACGAGCTCCTTTCGGGGGGGCGCGGTTCGCGGAGTTTGGGCCGGTGCCGTCAGGTGGACCCGGAAGGCCATGGCTGTGTTTCTGGCGGGACGCTGGCTGGTTCGGGGCGGTCCGATCGTCAGGTCGGGGGTTCCTGAGGGTTAAAGGGGCTGTGGAACTGCCTGAAACAAAACCGTCGTCGAGTGGGTTTTATAACCACATTTTAGTAGTTGTTCTGTGTCTGTGATCTCTAGGTGCCACACGTATCTCGGAGGGAATGTCATTTAAAGTTGCACACGCAAGACTTTTTTTATAATTAAAAGAGGAAGTAGCAAGAGCGTAATTAGCAAGAGTTGGAAGACGTTTTATAGGACAGGGTTCGCTTCCGATTTTTTTTTTTATATTTATACATATATTTGAGCCTGGGTTGCGTTAGTGCCTAAATGTGAAATATTTACACAAATGTAACACAAAAAAAAAATCACCACATTTATCATCACCTAGTCCATTTGTCTGTGGTGTTCTGCTGTAGGGTAGCGAGCTCATATTCTGTGAATTATCAGTGCGTTTTAGCCTGTCGTACTCTGCATGCACTGTGTTAGATAGTGTGCAATACGGTGAGGCAGGGGGCTGCTCTCATCCTTCAGGGCTCTTCCCGATCCCATAGCAAAAGGCTTTTTCGGACACTTTTTAGTTTGAGACAATTTCCGCTAAAGGTGAATATGTCAGTCTCAGTCTTTTAACACAGC